TGGTGTGTTTGTAGTCAACAGTTCAAACTGGATGACCACAAACACAATGTTTTAGGGTGAAATTTAGGTGAAAAGCTGAAAGAAACCATTCTGTCCGTTCCGCGGTCCGTTCAACTTTCCAAAACTGTGTACAGGTAAGCAAGCTGCTGCGATAATGTTCCATATAATACTGTTTAAAGAGTAGACAAAGTACGATACAATTTTACAATAGCCGTTTTGTTAATAACCCTCTGTCAATCGGACTGTTCCTGCGCAGGGATACAAAAATGCAGAAGTACAATCTGTAGTTTCCACGAAAGCCCTGGAGCTGTCAAAAGTCAATTGCTCGACTTTTGCTGACATTTAAACGTGAATTTCTTGGCCGCATAACACAGAGAAAAAGTAAACATTGTTTATTTACATCCCACTGGCATTGTAACAATACAAAGTGTGTCGAAAATCACTTTAAGAAACCAACATGTATATTATAGCTGCATATTACAGTCATATGGACTTTTGACACATTCATCTCTGATTGATAAATTGTAACAATGAAACAAGCATTTTCTGTAAAGTTTGAAACAATATGTATTGCGAAGAGCGCTATACAAATAAACTTGATTTGTTTATACAAATAAAGCCAGCTAACAATATTTGAATTGGATTAAATTACAAGTTTGATATAAGATGATCAGAAGTCTGAAATCAGACTGTTAATGTTAGACAGGAGATAGATGTTTGAGATTAGACTGCTAAAATTGAAATTTGCAGATCAGACTGTTAAAGTTTCAGATAGTAAATTTGTGTTCAGGCTGCTGAGATCAGACTGCTGTCTAATCTGGGAGTTACTTGGCAACTTGACAGTAAACCCTTCCTGCCTCAGCAAGTACCTCTTGTCTTTGTCAGAAGTCCTGAAGCAGATACGACACAGGGTAGAGCTACTGTACACAGCTAGTGAAGAGCTCCAAAACGATGGTGGTCCAGAAATTACAGTTTCCTCAGAACCCCAGATTCCCATATGAGGTCTTGAAGTGCTTGGATTGGCAAAACTTTTAAGATGTTTCCAAAACCAAGTTTCCTTCACTCCCAAACCATAATAACCACCACCACTGCGACTTGCACAGCTGGACCACCGTGGTCCAAACCAGAACTAAGCATAATGTTTCAATCTACTGCTGAGCTGTAAAAGGTGCACAGTACGCATGAGAAGATTAAAACAGGATGGTTTGTGTTTATGTTTTGAGAGTGTTACAATTACATATTTGCACATTTTTCTGCTTATATTTAGCACGAGACTATGCACTTCTTGTAGTAACAATCCTTCAAAGGCTTCAAGGGACGCTTCGTAACTATGCGAGGATAAACAAATCTGGTTGTGCTTTAACAGGCAAACTCTCTAGCTTACTCAAGTATCCAAGATGCCCTCACAAACAATTAATTCTGCAATTACACACTTCCTGTTTCTGTGTTTGAACCCTTTTCTAGGTTCATTTCTGTGTACAAGGTTACAAGACACAACGGATCTCATTTAACTGACATCACGGTTTCATTCATTACAGCTCTACTAAATGACTCGGGTTAAGTTTCTATTTTTGGAAGGATATTTCAGAAGCTCACAGTTGTCTGCCGGTGGTAAAGCTCTGGTGAATGTAGGTCACTATGTGGAGATAACTATGGCACGTGAGCCATTAAGCCCCCTGCAGGACTGTGCATACAATAGCCTTCCAATGCTTTTTTATTGTGGAAACGTTTACAGTGAACTGAGAATTGTTTCTAAGTAAACAGTAATTTAAAGGGCCATACTTTCTTAATGAGTTGACATGCATGACAGGGGATGCCGTTTTGTAAAAAAAAAAAAAAAAGAAGTTTTTTTCTTATATGAAGAAAATTAGAATGCTATTTGGATAGTGATATCATGATGCAATTTATTTCATTGCACGGAACCAGAGAGCCAATGTAAGCGATACCAGTAACTACAGTTGCCGGCGATGATGTGAGCCGAAGCAATGCATTTGTAATGCTACCACATACACACATACATGCACACACACACACACTGCTGTCAGAATAATGAATGACTGCTTTAGTGCTGATCAGTGTGTATGTAATACAACCATTACCATACAATAGATGTACCTATATAGAACTGCATGCACATACTAATTTGCACCAAACCCTCCCCCATAAAAAAAAAAACAACAAAAAAAAAACATGCATGTAGCCCTAACTATACTGAGATGTTTTGAATAATGGTCTTTTCTTTTAAATCTCCAGCTTACCTCCGCTTCTCTCCCCTTTTTCTCCTCCCTTTTATTTCAAAGCAATTCCAAACCTTTCTTCTCCCTTCCTCTCCTACTCGAGTCAATCCTGTTGCCTCTGCTCCCCACTTCTCTCCTCCCTCTTTCCCCTCTCCTTTCCTCTCTCCGAATTTCACAGCAGACTCATGCACGTGCACAGCCTGGGGGCAGGGCCATTGCTTGCTGTTCCTGCACTCAGCTGTCAATCACATCTTCTCAGCCAATCAGAAGAGAGCAGTCTGTGTCAGTCAAGGGATACCAGCGAATATGAGCCCTGGAGGTGGGAAATTTGTGGAAAAAAAATCTGGGAGAGAGAGTGTGTCTGCCATGTATGTGTGTGTTTTGGAACAAGGCCAACACACTATGTGCTATTTTTAAACCCCACTAGGGTGGCAAAAGACTCCATTTTCTGAAAGAATCGGGCATATTTCAAAGCCTTGAAAATATCTATATGCTCAATTAAAGAAATATGAAATCGTCATGGGATAATTATGGTCTCTGATGGTATTTTGATGGAACTGTCTCTAGACGCGGAGGTGGATGGGCTTCCTAGTTGCTATTGAGTTTTAAATAGACCAAAAGGCTGCAATTCTGAGCTAAACGTAATACTGATCCATATACCATCATCAGGTTGTTGCTATGTGGTTGCTAGGGTAATGTTTGGGCGTTCTAGGTGATTGCTTACCAATCCAAATCAAGAGAGTTCACCACAAGCCTCTGTGATAGACTATTCCCATGCAACAATAAGGCTTTGGTTGCTTGTTCAATGTAAGTTTATTGCATTAGGTGAAAGGAGATGATAGGCACTGGATGATGAGTGAGAGGAGCAAAAGAAAGAAAGGGATATGATAGGATAGAAAAAGGAATAGGATATGAAATGCAAAGAATATGGCAGGACAGAACTGGAAAAAAAAATGAGAACAACAATATGAATAAGAATAAGAAATGCAAGAGAGTTGATAGGACAGGACAGGATAAAACAGGATAGGACAGAACAGGAATGGTAGGGAAGAATAGGAAAGGATGGGCCAGAAGAGGGATAGGAGAGACACAGTACAGCAGGAAATGCAAATGATATGATAGGACAGGATAGGAAAGAGTGTGCATAGGATAGGATAGGAAAGAGTGTTAATATGATAGGTTTGGACTGGATATTAAACAATACGAAAGAATAGAATAGGACAGGATAGGATATGGATAGAACAGGGCAGGGTGAACAGGAATGAATAGAATAGGATAGGAAAGGAAATAATAGGAAAGAATAAGAATGTGAATGGGATAGGATATGATATGATAGGATAGGGAAATAATAGGATATGTTATAATATATGACATGATATGAAAAGGAATGAAAGAATAGGAATAGGATGGGTTGATAGGATCCGATAGGATAGGACAGAATCCTATCGAAGAACAAGAGAGGTGAATAGATGATATAAGAAAATAGTGGTGAGAACCGAGCATTCCTGAAAATGTTTGGTTACAGCTGGGTAGACCCACAGCCTCTGACTGAGACTGAGGCAGTGAGGCAGCGCGAGAAAGGAGGAGGGGGTCTTGCCTACGTGACTTTCTGTGCATAGCACCCACGTACCCCATCTGCCCTGTCCCCATCCTTTTAAATAAGGAGAGAAGGACAGTGTTCACGGTGAGTACAAACACTATTTGATGAACAGACAGAGACGGTTCGTCACAGAAACACACAGCTAGAGCATAAGATATAAGACAGATTCCTGTCTGACTGCCCATAGCAACAGCTCCAGTGCTGCTCAGTCTCCATTGGGCGAGGGAGCCGGCAGCATGATATACCAATGTCGGCACGCCAGCCAATCAGACGCTCTGTCTGGCTGATCTGGATTCCAAGCTCACCATGGTTACAGAACTACACACTTGAGCCAGTCAAACATGGAATTCTGACATCCATGAACCATATGTGACCGCTGACTCCATGCAAAGAGAAAAACCAGAAGATGTCATGAATCAACACTGTTTATGTGTTCATGGTAGTGCAAGGACACACAGAAGACAGACTCATACTGGACAGTGGTGCATAAAATAGCTTATTGGAATTCCACTGATGCTACAGAGCCATAAAAGATGAATCTAGTTTTGAGTAGCAGTGTGTGGTATCTGTGGTTCTGAATTATCATTCCAACTAAATCTGGAGAAGCTTGCATGTGCAAAAGCTGACGGCACAAAATAGGGAGTTGCATTCTGAGCATTTCTGCTATGGTATTCTGACTGATTTTGGTCTCGTGTCCTTTTGCAATGCATTTCTATGGGATTTTGCTTGCATTATTGAAACAAAATGAAAATCATGAGGCCAATCACACCTTTCATTAACATAATTCACTATTTAAGGTCATGTCATTCATGTCAGTAGCACAAAACAAACTTTATGTGTTATGGGTTTGATGAGATCCATAAAATCATCAAATTAAAGATTTTTTAATTGGGTGGGACAATGCAAAAATAATCAATTTCAATTTCATTCACCTTTTTCTTTAATAATAAGAAATCAGTTGCAATCTAACAATTTGTGTCAGGATAAATAAAAAATTAGATAAAAACTAGATGAAAACCCATAACCTATATGAGAACTAGCTCTCTGCTTGAGAACAGCCTTGTTTGAACATGCTACACACATGAAATATGATGCTCAGTGTCATCATCTTTCAACCTTGATGAAGCCATGATTATTGGTCAGGAGAGAGTTTAAAGACCCACCTCTTCTCCATAATGATTGGCTCTCTGTGCTGTTCATCATCTCAGTTCAATCAGGAAGAAGCTCCTTACAAACTGGTACCAATGGCACATTTCTACAGGCTGAAGATGCATCGGCATAACTGACACCATTTTCCATCCCACTGCAGGGATGAAGGAAAAATCCCAGCTGATTGACATCTCTGCATATGATGATGATGATGATGATGATGAGAGAGTTGAATTTTAAGTTCACCTAAAACACAAGACATTTAAAAAAGCTTTCTTTTAAACTCCAAATTCATCACGATTCTGTGTACACAGTAGGCTACTTAATATATCTCCCTTTCTTCTATAAACTAGACCAATGTAGTAAATGTGACCAGATGTCAGATTGCCTGAGATAGCAGATCGATCTCAATTCTAAATATTAGATATTTTCAATACAATAGACAATCAGCAAATAATAAACAAACACTAACAAAATGGGTGTAAATGAGTGTGTTAAAGGGAGGTTACATGCACCCATGCAAGCTTAGATATTTATATTCAAACAATGCCATCTAGTGGTGTGTTATAGAAATACAAAAGAGACGCACAAGTGACGAACATTAAAACACAATCTTATGAGTGTGACTCTGGACTGGCTTACTCATTCTAATATCTAAAAAGTAGCATAACAAACTCGTTCTCATAACCCAGCTATATTTAAATATAGTCATCATTTTACCTGCGGAATGAATGGAAATCGATCTTTCCCGATATGAGCGACCGATGAAGTGTTGCGCAGTTCTAATTCATTCAGGAATGCCCCATAGAGTCTTCCTCCACCTGTAACGCCACCATCTATACATGCATCATCCATCTGAGCTTTAATGCTGCTGATGAGCCAAGAGTAGAGGACTTGTTACTCACAGCTGCGTTACTTGGGATGAGCGGTGGTTGAGCCACTGAGTGACGTCAGCGCAATTCATCCCACGCGCTGGAGTGTCACTTTGGGCTCGTGAAGAGCGTGCGCGTGTATCACACGTTTTTTTAAATAACATTTTTTTATGTAGATTATTTTTAGTAAGAAATAGCTATCTCCACTGCAAGCGCAGTTTTAGTAGTTTATGAATCAATACCAGAAAAATGCATAACTGTTGTTATGTAATTGTTATTAGTGGTGCTTGCTGAAAGCAAGGCAACACTATTACTATTGTGTTTTTTGAGTCGGCCCAAAAGTTTGGCACGCTACTCCTCCCGCAGTTTTTGTCACACACCCATGAATGAGGTCTCAAAACGTGCGGAATATTCGGGAATGGTGTGCTATGACTTTTCTAAGCGATCGGGGGTACGATGTTCGCCCGAAGGGCGAACAAATTTCCCAAAAATCCCATAGACTTAACATTGCGACAAACTTTGACGACTCATAGCTCCGAGCGAGAATTTCACAGAAGCCTGCGATTTACCACATTTGAAGAGGCTGACAGGCTCTGTAAGAAAATACCTCACAATGGGGTAAAAGTTGCACCCCTGGGGGGCAGGAGCTGCCCAAATATTCCCCCATTGACCCCCATGTTATTTATTAGTGGTGCTTGCTGAAAGCAAGGCAACACTATTACTATTGTGTTTTTTGAGTCGGCCCAAAAGTTTGGCACGCTACTCCTCCCGCAGTTTTTGTCACACACCCATGAATGAGGTCTCAAAACGTGCGGAATATTCGGGAATGGTGTGCTATGACTTTTCTAAGCGATCGGGGGTACGATGTTCGCCCGAAGGGCGAACAAATTTCCCAAAAATCCCATAGACTTAACATTGCGACAAACTTTGACGACTCATAGCTCCGAGCGAGAATTTCACAGAAGCCTGCGATTCACCACATTTGAAGAGGCTGACAGGCTCTGTAAGAACATACCTCACAATGGGGTAAAAGTTGCACCCCTGGGGGGCAGGAGCTGCCCAAATTTTCCCCATTGACCCCCATGTTATTTATTATTCTTCTTCTTCTTCTTATTATTCTGGCCACTTTTTGGTTCGCTACTCCTCCCGCAGATTTTGTCACAGACCCATGGGTGAGGTGTCAAATCGACCGGCTTATTTAGGAGAGGTGTGCTATGACTTTTCTAAGCAATCGGGGGTACGATGGTCGCCTCAGGGGCGAAAAACGGCCAAAAAAAATCCCATAGACTTAACATTACGACAAACTTTGACGAGTCATAGCTCTGAGATCGGATTTCGCAGAAACCTGTGATTTACCACATTTGAAGAGGGTGACAGGCTCTGTAAGAAAATACCTCACAATGGGGTAAAAGTTGCACCCCTTAGGGGCAGGAGCTCCCCAAATTTTTCCCATTGAAAATTTTCTAGTATAGCATTTTACTATTCCAGGAAAAAGTTTGGAGCACTCCTACGTCCACAGTTTTTGTCACAGACCCATGAATGAGGCATCAAATCGTGCGGCCTATTGAGGAGAAGTGTCCTATCACTTTTATCAGAGATCGGGGGTACGGTGTTCGACCCAGGGGCGAACAAATTTCCAAAAAATCCCATAGACTTAACATTGAGACAAACTTTGACGACTCGTAGCTCCAAACAAGGATTTCGGACAAACGTGAGATTTGCCACATTTGAAGAGGCTGGCAGGCTCTTTAAGAACATACCACACAATGGGGTAAAAGTTGCACCCCTGGGGGGCAGGAGCTGCCCAAAGTTTCCCCATTGACTTACTATGGTGAAGGACGTCCCATCAAATGCATGTGTTTTTCCTACTATGGTAAATTGCATAGGGATTTTGTATTGAACATAGCTCTGGATCACAGTGTCATAGAGACAAGGGGGCGGGCTCATTTTACTCAGATGACCAATCAGTCTCTCAGGATCATTGTGAAGCTATTAAGCCACGCCCTAGCAACCATATAGAGCACCTTAGCAACAAGTACCATAGACTTCCATTGAAAGAGATCAAAGTTATATCTCCGGATAGAAGTGTCATAGAAACATGAGGGTGGGCTCGTTTGACTTGGGCCAGCAAACAGCCAATCCTGAATCACCTCAACACTTACTGGAAACGCCCTAGCAACCATTGTAGAGCACCTTAGCAACCAAAATCCAAAGAGGGATATCTTCCATTCTGAATGTCATAGAGGCATGGGAGTTGGTTTATATCATTCATACTGACAAGCAGCCTTTGGAGATTCATGATTGGCAGCTGCCAAGCCACTCCCTAGCTACCAAACAGAGTACCCTAGCAACCATTTTGCACGACCTATATCTCTGCATCAAAACATCGTATAGAGATGGGGGTTGGTTTATACATTCACAATGACTTTGGAGCTTCATGATTGGCAGCTTCCAAGCCACTCCCTAGCAACCAAACAGAGTACCCTAGCAACCGTTTTTCAAGACCTATATCTCTGCATCAAAACATCGTATAGAGATGGGGTTTGGCTCTTTTTACTCATGTTAGCAAACATGACTTGCTACATGCTACACATGCTAGCAGTGCATAGCTACATGCTAATATTGATTAGCTAAGTGCTAAATCATGCCATGAATGTTATAAAAACTCTATAGTAATCATATGTGAACACTACCAACCACCTAGTAACACCATAGCAACCACCTAGAATACCATAGCAACCACCTAGCAACACCATAGCAACCACCAAGAATACCCTAGCAACCACCTAGCAACACCCTAGCAACCACACAGAACACCCTAGCAATCGCCTAGCAACACCCTAGCAACCACTCAGAACACCCTAGCAACCACCTACCAATACCTAGCAACCATCTATAACACCCTAGCAACCACCCGGAACACCCTAGCAACCGCCTAGCAACACCCTGGCAACCATATAGAACACCCTAGCAACCACATAGCAACACCCTAGCAACCACCCAGAACACCCTAGCAACCACCTAGCAACACCCTGGCAACCATCTATAACACCCTAGCAACCACCTAGAACACCTTAGCAACCACCTAGCAACACCTAGCAACCACTCAGAACACCCTAGCAACCACCTAGCAACACCATAGCAACCACCCAGAACACCCTAGCAACCGCCTAGCAACACCCTAGCAACCACACAGAACACCCTAGCAACCACCTAGCAACACCCTAGCAACCAGCCAGAACACCCTAGCAACCACCCAGAACACCCTAGCAACCGAGCGAGCTTTTTGCCACTGCAAGCACCACTTCACATTTTCCTCTGGAAATGTACATTCTAGTGTTGTGAATACTATTCTCCAAGACAAAACTTTGGCACGCTACTCCTTCCGCATTTTTTGTCACAGACACATGAATGAGGTGTCAAATCGACCAGCTCGTTAAGGAGAGGTGTGCTATGACTTTTCTAAGAGATCGGGCGTACGATGCTTGTCTAGCGGGCGATAAATCGGCCGAAAAATCTCCCATAGACTTAACATTGGCACCAAATTTGTGAGATCATATCTTTTGAATAGAAGGTCATAGAGACTTGGGGTTGGGCTCATTTGACTCGGCCTATCATACAGCCAACAAGTAGTGACATAGTAACTTAATATTCACGCCCTAGCAACCACTTAGGGCAGCCTAGCAACCATAAAACAACATATACAAGCCATATCTCAGCTCCAGGAAATAGAAGAAACATGGATTTTGCCTTTTTTTGACTCAGACTGTCAACTAGTCTTTAAATATTAACTCATAAACTGTATAATCACACCATAGCAACCATATAGGGTACCCCAGTAACCCTACAAACACATGAATAAGACATGTCTCAGCTGAATAAACCATTTATCATCACAAAAACATCGTACAGACGTGTTTGGTGTCTCGTATGCAAAAATGTGCCACACTCTAGCAACCGAGCGAGCTTTTTGCCACTGCAAGCACCACTTCACATTTTCCTCTGGAAATGTACATTCTAGTGTTGTGAATACTATTCTCCAAGACAAAACTTTGGCACGCTACTCCTCCCGTATTTTTTGTCGTAGACCCATTAATGAGGTGTCAAATCGACCGGCTCATTTAGGAGAGGTGTGCTATGACTTTTCTAAGCGATCGGTTGTACGATGTTCGTCTGGCGGGCGATAAATCGGCCGAAAAAAGTCCCATAGACTTAACATTGGCACCAAATTTGTGAGATCATATCTTTTGACCAGAAGGTCGTAGAAACTTGGGGTTGGGCTCTTTTGACTCGGCCTATCATGCAGCTAACAATTAGTGACATAATAACTTCATATTCATGCCCTAGCAACCACTTAGGGCAGCCTAGCAACCATAAAACAACATATTCAAGACATATCTCAGCTCCAGAAAATAGAAGAAACATGGATTTTGCCTTTTTTTGACTCAGACTGTCAACTAGTCTTTAAATATCATCTTATAAACTGTATAAGCACACCATAGCAACCATGTAGGGTACCCTAGTAACCACACAAACACACGAATAAGCCATATCTCAGCCCCAGAACATTGTGCACACATGATTGTTGGCTCGTATGCAATCCTGTACCACACCCTAGCAACCGGGTGGTGAGTTTTGCCACTGCAAGCACCACTTCACATTTTCCTCTGGAAATGTACATTCTAGTGTTGTGAATACTATTCTCCAAGACAAAACTTTGGCACGCTACTCCTCCCGCATTTTTTGTCACAGACACATGAATGAGGTGTCAAATCGACCAGCTCGTTAAGGAGAGGTGTGCTATGACTTTTCTAAGCAATCGGTTGTACGATGTTCGTCTGGCGGGCGATAAATCGGACAGAAAAAGTCCCATAGACTTAACATTGGCACAAAATTGGTGAGATCATATCTTTTGAACAGAAGGTCATAGAGACATGGGGTTGGGCTCATTTTACTCGGCCTATCATGCAGCAAACAAGTAGAGACATAATAACTTCATATTTACGCCCTAGCAACCACTTAGGGCAGCCTAGCAACCATAAATCAACATATTCAAGTCATTTCTCAGCTTCAGAAAATAGAA